AGGCAAGTCTAGACAAATATTTCATGACAGTTTGAAAGAGCATCACAAAATTACTAATATTCCAAAGTTTCGTTGCGAAATGTTGTAAAATGAGTAAAATAGAGCCTTGCGAAGTTTTCAACTTTCAGTCATTTTGCATTACAAACGGGAAATTGCAGCCCCAACACCCGAATCGGATGTCAATTTCCCGTTTGTAATACAAATGGACTGAAAAACGGCAAACTTCGCAAGGCTATATCATCCGCATTTTACAAGATTTTTCAACAAAACATTGGAATATTACTAATTTCGTGATTCTCTTTCAAGCTGCAATGAAATTTTTGTCCAGATCGAAATTTTAGTTATAAGGGGAAAGGTCCATTATGTTTATTAATTTATTTCACGGAGCTTAATTATGTTCCGGTTTATTGAAAGGTTTAATTACAGGGTTATATTTTAGTTTAAAAACAGCATTTTCGAAGAGCTAACAATCCGAGATCCGCTCATATCTTTTGAAAACCTATAGTTACAGTAAAACTCATGTACCCGCCGCTTCTGCACAGTCAAGGTATTGCCAATTTGCGGCATTAGTAAAACATTTATAATGTGCGGTTTAGCTTGCGGTTTCGCTTGCGGTTTCAATCGATCAAACTCGACCGAACTTCAACCTAACCTCAACCTAACCGCGACCTAACCTCAACCGAACCTCAACCTAACCTTAACCTAACCGCGACCTAACCGCGACCTAACCGCGACCTAACCTCAGCCTAACCTCAACCGCACTGTTAGGTTATTTCTGGACAGTACTGTATCTTAAGAAATTGAAAGAAAGAATGTTAGTTCAACCCGTAATTGAAAACTAACGTTTCTTGGTTACAATTTTCTTGCAGAAAATTCGACTGTATTTTGGTTCAAGCAGGAATCCAAAAATGTGTCAAAACTCGGTAAAAATAAAAAAGTTGAAAATTCTAAGATTCGTTTTGTAGGGCTATTAGTAAAACACGGAGCACGGAGCACGCGGAGCACGGAATACGGAGCACACGGAGAACGGAGCACGGAGCACGGTGCCCACGGCGAATGGAGCACGGAGCACACGGAGCACGGAGCACTTGGAGCACACGGCGCACACGGCGCACACGGAGCACGGAGTACACGAAGGAAGTACGGAACAGTGGAAAAACGAAAATCCTTTATAATAAAATATACTGTTTACTATTACAAATTTTTGTTCTTATTAATAAAGTTTTTTCGCGTTTTACACGTTGGGGAAGTAGATAAATGGGGATTTTACTGCACATATGATGCAAAACTGCCAAAAGTCATAGTATTTAAAATAGAATTGTGCCTGTGAAACTCGTTATCTTACATCTATCAAGCTTATGTAGTCATATTATATTCCGATGGCCAATGCATTAAGAAACACTTTGAGAACAGCCGATATATTTCGTTACCCCTGCCAAAAATAGCCAAGTACTCATCTTTCAATGTAGCGGATCGACTGAACAAAGCTTTATTTATGCTTTATTTGTTTATTTATGCATGAATTAGCTTTTCATGGAGAGAAGTGAATTTTCGGCTTATCCTTTGGCCCAGTGACCAGTGGGCAGTGTGCTGTACGGTGTACGTTTAAATCGTCATACAGTACATAATTACTGCTTTCATTCTTTCAATCCGTTTTGTCTTTTGAATATTCGGAATCATTTACTATTATATAATATTATAAAACTGTATAAGATTGCTGCAGAACTATAAATGCTGTAGAATAAAATACATAAAGAAAACTACATTTTATCGCGGTATTTGCCGATAAATCGGTAAACGCTACAGAAAAACAGAACAAATTACAGTAAATCACAACAAACCGCGGAAGTGGGACAATTTTTGTATTTTTGCTGTAAGACATGCAGAACATGTATGAAATCCATACAATCTTACAGAAGTGTGTGTGTATTCTATACTTTTGAAACGACTAAATCAAACTTCGGAAAATTTGACAGTATGCCTATTAAAGCTACGTTTGAGAATTTAGATTTTAGGTCTTCGTTTTACATGCACCCAGTAAATATTTTTGAGTTTGGAATTTTGATTCTCACAAGCTTACAATTTATTTACAATTTGCTCTGCCTCTGGCTCTGCCGTGCTGCACAGAGTTGATCGGAATTGTTTGTAACAAAATACGCTTACACTTAAATGGTTTCCTGAATTTAGTCAATCAGATGTGTTAAATTACTCGTTTCAATTTCATGTTTAGCAATTCTAACAATCTTGCCCTCCTTTTCGCCTTTGAGGCGTTGGTGTTGATTTATACACAAAATTCAAAACCCAAAAATATTTACTGGTCTGGGTACATGTAAAACGAAGACCTAAAATCTAAATTCTCAAAAGCAGCTTTAATACGGTCACATTTTCCGAAGTCTGATTTAGTTGTTTCAAAAGTATAGAATACACACACACTTCTGTATGGATTTCGTACATGTTTTGCATGTTTACAGTAAAAATACAAAAATTGTCCCACTTCCGCGCGGTAATTTGTTCTGTTTTTCTGTAGCGATTACCGTTTTATCGGCAAATACCGCGATAAAACTTACTTTTCTTTATTTATTTCATTCTACAGCATTTATAGATCTACAGCTTTCTTATACAGTTTTATATATTGTGAATGATTCCGAATATTCAAAACGGATTGAAAGAATGAAAGCAGTCAATGATGTACTGTATAACGGTTTAAACAGCTCACTGCCGTACAGCTCACTGCCACTGGTCACTGTCCACTGAGCCGAAGAATAAACCGAAAATTCACTTTTCTCATCACATGATTTAATGTTCAGTCGATCCGCTACATTGAAAGATGAGTATACTTGGCTATTTTTTGGCAGGGGTAACGAAATATATCGGCTGTCAGTCTAAGACTAAGTGTTTTCTCTGAAGTGTTTCTTTATGCGTTGCTGTTGGCATTATAATAATATGATATAATATAATATAATATAATATAATATAATATAATATAATATAATATAATATAATATAATATAATATAATATAATATAATATAATATAATATAATATGATATGATATAATATAATATAATATAATATAATGTAATGTAATGTAATGTAATGTAATGTAATGTAATGTAATGTAATGTAATGTAATGTAATGTAATGTAATGTAAGAGGGTCTGAATGGGGTTAACTGACTATTGACATTTGCCTGAATTTTTGACTGACAACTGACAAAATATCCTAACTGACTACTGAGAAATGATGAAAAAAATTATAAGTCAGCATTTTGCAGTAACTGACTACTGACAGCTTGCAATATATCGCACTGACAACTGACAATTGGCTTAAATTTTTGCTGACAACTGACACCCAAAGACCCCCATTAAGACCCTCATGTAATGTAATGTAATGTAATGTAATGTAATGTAATATAATATAATATAATATAATATAATATAATATAATATAATATAATATAATATAATATAATATAATATAATATAATATAATATAATATAATATAATATAATATAATATAATATAATATAATATAATATTATACAAATAATGAATGTTTATGAGTGCAATGGTAAGAATATTTTCATGAGGTAAAAGATGGAATGTTCCATTCAACTCGGCTGTCGCCTCGTTGAATGGAACATTCCATCTTTCACCTCATGAAAATATTCTTACCGTTGCATTCATAAACATTCATTATTTGTATAATATAATATAATATAATATAATATAATATAATATAATATAATATAATATAATATGATATGATATGATATGATATGATATGATATGATATGATATGATATGATATGATATGATATGATATGATATGATATAATATGATATGATATGATATGATATGATATGATATGATATGATATAATATAATATGATATAATATAATATAATATAATATAATATAATATAATATAATATAATATAATATAATATAATATAATATAATATAATATAATATAATATAATATAATATAATATAATATAATATAATATAGAGAGTAAGTTATAAACATAACTACATAACTCATAAGCTTGATAGATGCAAGATAACGAGTTTTACAATCCTATTTTAAATACAACTATGGCTTTTGGCAGTTTTGCATATGTATTTTTTAAAAGCCCAATTTTCTTACTTCCCCAACGTGTAAAACGCGAAAAACTGCCAAAAAACTGCCTTATTAATAAGAACAAAAATTTCTAATTATAGTAAACAGTGTATTTTATAATAAAGGATTTTCGTTTTTCTACTGCTCCGTACTCCGTTTGCTCCGTGCTCCGTCTGCCCCGTGTGCTACGTGCTCCGTGCTCCGTGTTTTAACTAATAATAGCCGTTTTGTAGCTACTAAACAAAGTGTTGTTCGTGGTAAAAATATTAAGGAATACTATTTTTCAATATGGATATCAGTGCGCGGTTTTTAATTTAAAGAGAAAGCCTCTTAACTCGCTTAGGTTTCAAAACAATATTACAATAATTGCTATTTACAATTGCAAAGTGAAGACCGCCACAAAACATGGCGGAAGCAATTACATTTTGGCGCACGGACCCCCCAAGGGATCTAGCAAATTAAAGTGTCACGTGACCAGCCTGCACCAAAGTTTTTTCGCCGCGGGAGTGGAACGGGAGCGGAGAAAAAACCCTGGGTATATGCTTGCAATAAATGATTTTTTTAATTCTTGGGAATATAATTTGAACAGGAGATAATCATTGTTTACCATGGGCATGGCAGTCATATTTGTATACCTGTAAAAAGGATCTAATCAAGACTCTTTTGTTCGGGAACATCAATTTGGCGGCTGTGACATCACATGAAAACGCTCAAATTTTCGGCAACACAAACGACACGTTTCTATTTCTTAATTATTCTTTCTCGCTTTGTCTTTTAGATGTTGGTCCAGTATTGATAACAGACAACCCCGACGAAGCAAAACAATCAGTAAACTCCCTTAGAGCAGACGGTGGTGGTGATTGCCCAGAATTGTCCATGAGTGGTCTTTATTTAGCTGTTCATAACAGTCTACCTAACTCTGATGTGTACTTATTTACTGATGCAGACGCCAAAGACGCCAATCTAGTATTCTCTGTGATATCAATTGCATTACAAAGAAAATCTAGAATTACTCTTTTTATCAGTGGCAACTGCAATAGCTTTGCAGAGCAAAAGGTGTATAAAAAACTCGCCAGAACAACTGGAGGACAACTCATAGACTTATCAAAATCTGACATCGACGAAGCTATCAAGCTTCTTCGTCCCACAAGTGTTTCTGAAGAATATTCATCGTTACAAAAAGTCTCACTGCTCTCTGTTGAAGTCACTACTAATAACATAAAAACGAAATCCTACAATATTCAAAGTGATTCTACCATTGCTTTTATAACAGCTGTATTGAGTGCTGGAGGAAATGCCAGTATTAAAGTGGTTCCACCTGAAGGTACAGTAACATCTAAGCACGCATAATCAACTGGCCTGCACCTATGGACTGTACCTGGCCGATTTGTAATACAGTCTTTGAAATTTCGCAGCATTATTTGTCGACCCCTAGCTTAGCTATATCCATGACCTGTGTAGTTGATTTTCAATAGTATATGATTTAAAAATGAAAATTAAAGTCCAGCAAATGACTTTCAGACAAGACATAGCAAAAATATAAAATTTATTGGCTAACGTTTCGTTGTATGGTTCACAACATCTGCAGAGCAATTAAACTTATTTACAAGCGCGTATTATGTATATACAAATTTTTAAACGGTTACATTATTCAAATAAGAGGATGAAATTTGATGTTAAATGGTATGGATATGAGTGAGTATATGCCTGACATGGTGGAAACAGAACTTATCTTTCCAGTCAAGAGTGAAACACCCATGTGTTCACGCATACGCGTGTGTATGTGTCGGCAAGTTTGACCAACATACAATGCACCACAGCATTGACACTTATACAAATGCACAACATGCTATCTCAGTTCACAGTGTAGTGAATGGGTATTATATTTACATGAAGTATTACCTGATATTTACTTAGGATAGGTAGCCATTTTCTAATTTTCTTTTAGTGTTAAGTAAAGCCTATTTAAGAAAGGTGTTTATTTATTTTCTTTATTCCTTACATCAATTTACTTAACACTCAGCTGAAAGGTATGGATAAAATATTGAGACCTGAACGATTTGATGTCATTCCGAGTGCACAAGATGCTGCAAAACGTTGGCCGGCTACACTGGTTGATGATCTTCGATAACTTTGTCGCTGCTATACCATCTGCTCCCGACGCACATTGCCGCATGTGTTAGTCAATTATGTTACATCTGATGCCCACCAGCTGTTTTGCGAAGCTGAAACGTATGAAGAAGCTATCACTTTGTTAAAAACTTTATATGTTAAGACCCCATTTGCTCGACGTAAGTTGGCAACACGAAAGCAACAAGCCGGCGAAACGTCGTATGAATACTTACAAGAACTAAAGCTTTTGAGTAAAGATTGCAATTTCTGCCAAGTTTCTGCCGCTCAACACCGTGATGAAGCTGTTCGTGATGCTTTTATAACTGATCTACTATCTGGAAACATTCGACAACGTTTACTTGAGAACAAAACCTTGGATTTACAAACAGCATTTGACCAAGCTCGAGCTCTTGATATGGCACAGAAAACCTCGAAGACTTACAACTCGAATCCCCTAACAAGTGCTGCTGCTACTGCCTCACCAGAACCCGAGGAACAGAACAATGTAGGAGAAGAAATGGGTGAGAGGTATATAGCGTCCACTTCACGTTCTGCTAAATGTTTTTTTTTTGTGGTAACAGACCGCATGCACACTCAATATGCCCAGCTATACACTCTAAATCAGGTGTGTTCAATTACACACGAAGGTGTGTACATTTTACACACCTTCCTACACAGTTTTAGAAAACACACCTTTGTGTGTTAGAAAACACATCATGCTGTGTTAAAAACACACCATGGTGTGCAACAAAACACACCTATAGGGGTGCTAAGAAACACACCTGTATTCTACACACCTTTTCGTACAAATCATTGATGCATATGAGGTGTGTTCAATAACACACCTTTTTAATGAAAGCACACTTTGGTTTGTTCGATAACACACTTCATACTAATTTGCAAAAACACATCTTGGTGTGTTAGATAACACACCCTACAGCGATTTTGGAAAACACGCGTGCGCTGTGTGTACTGAAAAATGATTTTTAATAACACCCAATAAATCCAATCGTCAATCACGATAATGTTGCTTTAATATGCTTTTCGGATATATAGATGTGAATGGCGAATGGTGATATATTGACTTCGCGATATCTTTTAATGTTTTACTTGTCTAATAACCGTTTGATATTTGTTGTGTAGTATTTTATTCCTTCAAATGAAATAAGAGCATCACTGGGGCTATTTATTTGCCAAGAGATTAATATAGCTCTGTCTTTAGCACCCCATTAATATCTGAAATATGTAACTGGCTTTGAAGGTCTTTCGATCGAAAGAAACGAAAATTCTCTCGATGAACGTGGTTTAACTGATGCCTAGTTTTCGTACTACGCGCGCAAAGTTTCCCGGGATAGCGTCATCACATTCACAACTTTCACACCGCCATATTTTTCAAGCCCTCATTTTGAATTTATGGGTACTAAAAATTCGCTTTTTTAAGCGACGAGGAAGTATTTTAACGAAGATGAAACAGCGGGGATGACTAAATAAAATTCAGGTAAGGATATTGTTATGTTATATGTATAATGGAGCAGTTTTGAAAGGAAATATTTATTACTATCTTCCTTCATGAATTTTGAGCATGTGTCCAGGTTTAAAATTTGAATTTGCCGCGACAATATTGGAATTAAAACGATGATATAAATCTGGTATAATACACCAGACACATTGTTAACTGGCAATCTGTCAGATACTCATATACACAAATATTATTTGGCATTTATAAAACAAACATAATTTAATATAAAGTCTGAGTCAAATGTAAGCCCTTGCATAAAACTATTTCAAAGTAATTATATAGCTTGGCATCTACACCTTCATATACTCACCTACGCATGTCCCAGCTAAACATGGTTTGAGAAAATGTAACCATTTGTTTCAAATCTACCGCTACTTTCATTAGTTTCCAATATTTATTGATATATCTATAAGTATATTAATGTTCAAATTCTTCAATTGATGAAAAAAAATCTATTTCGCTTTATGAGGTGTTATGCACCAGTCAACAAAAATTTATTGCTCCTCCGGCAGTTGCTGATAAGTGGGCGTAAAGTGCCAGGAAAATTTTTCATGGTGTGATGTTGTGATGGGTTAACATACTGTCAGTGCATGTCTCAGTTGCCATTAGCACTTACATGCCCTACTTTAATTTATATTTCACTCTCAGTCTCGCACTAGGTGTTGGTTGTTCAAAGCCGAATTAACCCTAACACGTAGTTAAAATTTATGTATGTCTACATACAGTACTTATCTTTTTGTTTCAAACTTTTGAAAAGAAAAATCGTTTGGTAATGATCCAGACAACATTTCTAAAGAAATATTTCCAAATTTGTAAACAAACTGTTGGGAAGTTTGCTTATCGGCTTTCGAACAATTAGACCCCGGTGATTCTGCCTTGAATTGGTCATGGGGAGAGTGTTGGACTTAAAAGGTTAACTAGATTGTGTTAACTAGATTGTGTGACAAAGTTTTGTTAACCCAGTATTAGGATAAAAGCAGGCTACTTTCAGTACTTCATGATTTTACTTTGTCTAACATCAGAGGGTCACATTTTACATTAACCCTTTCAGATGCAACTTTACGACATTTTAGTCATCCGATCCAGAGTGGGAGGGAGTCCTACAGTATAATTTACTGAGACTGATAATAGTAAGATGTATGTAAAAAGACATTGATGAAATGGGGTAGGGGGTTGAATTCCAATTTCCTTTGCATGTCATGCTTGAAATTTTCAAGGCCGGGTGGGTGGGTGGGTGAGTGGGTAGGGGGGTTTAGATAAAAACGTCAATTTGATTGTTTTGTGTGGCAACTTGAATATGGACAGCTCCCTAATTGGAAGCAGTTAAAGTCCTTAGTTTGCTTGTTTAAACTCATGAATACATTTAGCGACACCACCGACATGATCTGCTTAGTAATATAGGTAACAACTCTTTGGCCTGCATTTTATATATCTTTAGAAACACCCCGTCAAGGATGCATTTTGATGTTTGCTGGAACTACCCAATTCACTCCAATTAACCCAATTTTCAAATGTTATCTTTCTTAAATGTTATCTTTCCTAATGCTGGACAATTTAATTTGCCAAAGGGAGCGTCAAGCTAGACTTTGCATTGAACTTTGCATTTAAATGCTAGACAATTTTACCCACATTTCACCTATCAACACCTAAGGAGCAATTTCCTCTTGAATGTTGCCTACTTTAGGTTCTTTGCAGGGGTGTGCAGAATAGAGTTATTCTGCTATCCCGCATGCAGATACAGGATATGCTGGATATCTGAAAAATACCCAGCCAGATTCAGGGTTTTATTAAACTAATTATATAAGGTTCAGGCCTCATTTATGAAGTAATAACTTTATTTGGTTAAAAAGTAAACAGACTAACACTAGTAAACATACATCATTGCAGGTAGCAAAAGCCTCACTTACATTAGTTCAAAGGTCAAATGGCTCAAATCCACATTTAATAAACAAGCATAAAAATCTTGAAAATACTGTACCGGTAAGCCTTCCTGTGATCATTTTCATTTTATGTTTATCATATTTTTACTTCAATGATCATTACTGAAGTAAAAATGTGATAAACCTGATATGAAAACTTTGTCAAATCATTTTCTAACCTGAAAATATGACCTGAACCTTATAAATAATATCTGGCATTTGGCAACCGGATACCTGATAATGAAATAAAATCTCAATATTCGGCCAGAGATTATGTCTTTATTTGCATCCTGGCTATGTCTTGAAATGCCAAACAAACAAACCAGTTATAATGGGAGTGTGTTGGTTATACATATGAGATGACTGTATATTGGTATTCAATACACTTAGCTAATATATGCACCCTTTTATTGTTAACCCTATGAGCAGCAATGTGCCCAAGTGCACCCTACATTGTTGTTCACTATCTAACACTACACGGCAAAAAACGCCGAGCCCGTTGCTCAACAGGACTGATCAATGTTTTGCTGCCGCGGTTGTTCACACTTCTCAACAATATTGAACAATATTGTTGAGCCTGAATCGGGTGTAACAATATTCTTCAATATTGTTGACAGCTATGAACAATGTGGGCAGCAAAACATTGTTCAATCCTGTTTTCATCAGTATTGCATCAACCTGAGCGTTTTTACGCGTGTAGGAGATTTTACTTTGTGAAGTGCTAGACAATTTTACTCCTCAAGAGCATCGCCGTGCTCAATAATGGCTTATCCAAACTATCTTCCAGTGTGCCTTGATAACCCATTAAGCTGAATTACACTCAAACAAACAAACTAACTAGTTAAGGGGAGAGTGTTGGTTATACATATATGAGATGACTGTATATTGGTATTCAATATACTTAACTATAATATATGCACCCTTTTATTCTTAACCCTTTGAGCAGCAATGTGCTCAGGTGCAACCTACTTTGTTATGTTCCACTATCTAATACCAGGTGCTTTTACTTTGTGAAATGCCAGACAATTTTACTCTTCAAGAGCATTGCCCTGGTCACTAATGGCTTATCAAAACTATCTGCCAGTGTGCCTTGATAAGCCATTAAGCTGAAATGCACTCAAATGGACCGGCCTCTATTATTTTACTCTGTTAAACATTAGACAATCTTAGTCATCAAGAAGTGCGTGCTAGTGTGTTAAATGACTTAATTACATATGTTATATATAAACTTAAGCTATTAGATTGTGCTATTGTATATTAATTTTTTACTTATCTTCACACAGGCTTGTATGTTGGATCCATACGACTACCTGTAAATATGATTAAATTTGCCTACGTGATGCAAAGGTTGTGGTCTCATCGAGTGATAAAGGAAATGATACCGAGATGGACTGATTAGATGCAAGTTATTTACAGTGTTTCATATGACAGATATTCTGATCGTGGAAGATGTGAGGTTGCAGTATTTTGACAATTGCATAGCTAC